ACACACACACACACACACACACACACACACACACACACGCACACGCACACAGACACAGAGAGACAGTGAGATGCGCACATATATTTGCTCGAGCGCACGCGCACACACACACACACACACACACACACACACAAACAACACACACATACATATACACAAACACACCACACAAACACACACAAACACATAAACATATACACACATACACACATACACTCAAACGCCACGCTAACACACACTTGCACAGACACACACACACACACACACACACACACACACACACAGACACACACACACAAACACGCACACACACACACACACACTCACCATAGATCTACCGATTAATCTATCTACCTATCTATCAGTTTTTATCTCGACAAGGTGACTTGTGATCCACAATGACATATTATGACATTTAAAAATCTGGGTCATGCATCTGCTGCAACCCAGAAACGTCGCCTAACCTCTATACAGCATCCATCTGAAAGCCATGAATTCAGGACCCCGGGACGATGTTTACAAAGCCATAACTAGAGACGCCAAATTCTTGTGATTACAGCTCCAGGCCCGCTAAATGGAAGATTCCCAGCTGCTCCCTGTTACATGGTAGATTATCTGGAAGTACACTTTTTAGCCTTGTGTGAAACGAAGCTGACTGAACACTGCTATTTTCCTTTTTCTCAGTTGCATGTTTGTTCGTTTGTTTGTTTGCTTGTTTGTTAGTTAGTTTGTTTGGTTGTTTTTTTTACCTTGTGTTTGGCTGTGGTGGAAATGTTTGAATGATAGTAGGCTGCCGTCTAACTGCCTAATATATTCTATGCCCCAAATGGGAATTTGGTGGCATTCTTTTGGAGTCCGAATTAACGTAAAAGCATGGGGAATTTTTGTGAAATCTCATAGAGCTGCAGGTTAAAGCTAAGGCATGCAGGACTGTGAACTATCTTAATTTAGTAGCTATGACATCAGATTCAAGGACCTTTCTATAAAGGTTTTATTACTACCCTGTATTTCTGTCCTGGTCATGCATATTTCCTGCTTTGTACTTTGGTTTCACAGTTCAGAATTTGTTAAAGTTTTCAAGTCATTTTTTTGGAGTTATTATCATTCCGACACCATATATAATACACACGTTTTTTCTTGGTAGACTACAAAGCGCTTTGACTACAATCTTTCCCTACATTCTCAAACCGTTAGCCAAAATATCCAAAGCACCGTACCCAGGAACAGTTTCTCGGCAGGTGAGTCTTACCTGTATGCTTCATGCGATGTTGGCACCGGCCCTGTTCTGCCCCCCCTTTTCTCTCTCCCTTTTCTCTTCATACACATCCGTATAAACTTTGCCTTCCTCTCCTTACCCCCACGCCACATTTTCCGTCATTCTCTCTCTTTTCTTCAAACGTTTTTCTTAGACCTTCTTTCCATCAGCTGACTTCTCTAAGGACGTCTGCTTTTCCTCACCCTCAGTACCCTCTTCCCCTTTCCTTAGAGAAGCACACGCAGAACTCTTCTCTCCCGCATTTTCTGCCCGTGTTTATCTCTCTAACCTTTCCTCTGCTCACTTTCCCCTCGCCCTTGACTTAACCGAGGGGTATCCCCCATGCCATAACCGCGAGCTGGAATATCAACATTCAGCCTGCACTGCCAGAGATAGATTGCGGACAAAGAAAAGCAACGAGAGTTCACAACAAACGTGTCGTCATAAGGCTTGTGTGCGTGTGTACCTTCGAGATTCAAGCGGATGAAACGAGAATAGTCAGAGATTCAGCATCGAGGACCCAGTGCTTTTGTTCCGATTTTCAAAAACAAAAAACAAGTACAATTGAAATTTTACTATTTTTACGCGTTCATTGTGTTTATTGTGCTTTGAATTTGCCCCAAGGCCATGATTTATAAAGATGATATTTCTCTTGTGTTTCTTTGAAACCAGAAATGTGTGGATCGTTCTCAATTTCACCTGAGCTCATCCCGACCCACAACTGGAGTTCACCGCACCTGGATAACTATGACCTCCACTCACGAGAATTGTGAAAGCACGGAGGACAAAACCAGATGTTGTACTCTTTGAGAATATTATTCCTAGCAATGGTGGAGTCTTTCTGACTGTTTTTTTTCTTTCGTTCCCACATATGACCGAGGTAAGACTAAACCAGCAATAAACACAAAAACATCATGTTTCCTTTGACTTTTTTTTCCAAGGCTAACTGGAAGTAACACGCCATTCCTTTGTTCATCAGTACACGGGCTGTTATTTTAAAATACAAGCTGCATTTGCTCAATACATCATGACATTACAAGCACTAAGACAGATGTACCACTTTTATGGCGGTATCACTGAGCATAAAACAATTCATAATATTATCTTTTCTAATATTATGCTACTTTATCCTCAATACTTCGAATGTGTCTTCATTGATTCTGATGTTTTCAGTTCCTAGATTGGCGTGTTCTGTTTATATCCTCCAATTCTTCTGTGTTTTTCCGGAAAGTTACACTCGTATCCAAGTGTTCCATATCCTATACTTCCAATATTCAGACCCATCATATCTCTTGCGCGCCTCTGTGTGTGTGTGTGTGTGTGTGTGTGTGTGTGTGTGTGTGTGTGTGTGTGT